AAATCACAGAGGGTTGCCGACTCGCCTCCTCCGGAGCCTATGCAACTTGGCAGAGCTAGATTGTCTCCTGCCGAATGGTTACACAGACTGAACACATAGGGCTGTCATTATATTTCTACCTGTCCTGTAAAAAGACCCGGCTCATCAGGAGGTATGAGTACACTGGTGGCCATTACGGAGAATGTCCAGTCTCCCATTACTCGTACCCCTCTCCATGCCATCCTGCTGTGCGGTGACCGGTCCAAATCTCTCCCGGTACTCATTGACTCTGGGGCCGACAAGAGTTTTATGGACACTACCCTGGTGTCATAGTTGGGAATCCCCACTCAAACCCTCTCCATTCCCATGGACGTCGGAGCGCTGGATGAGCGTTCTATTGGCAGTCACCCACAACATGGTTCCTATCAACCTGCGAGTGTCAGGCAACCACAGCAAGACGATCCAGTTTCTACTTATCGAATCCCCTCAGGTACCCGTTGTGTTGGGGTTTTCATGGCTCCAAAGACACAATCCCCTTGTGGACTGGACTGTGGGTTCGATCAAGGTTTGGAGCCCATTCTGCCATGCTCAATGCCTGAAGTAGGCGCAGCCTGCCCCGGGACGTCTTCCTGCAGGCTTGGGTAAAGTCTCGGACCTCTTCGCCATTCCCGTGGAATACCAGGACGTCCGGGAGGTTTTCAGCAAGGCCCGTGCCACCTCACTTCCGCCTTATCGGCCCTATGACTGTGCCATTGACCTTCTCCCGGGCACTGCTCCGCCTCAGGGGTGGCTCTATTCCCTGTCGGGTCCGGAGACCAAGGCGATGGAAACGTACATTGAGGACTCCCTGGCTGCAGGGTGTATCTGTCCTTCTGCCTCCCCCGCCGGCACAGGGTTCTTCTTTGTGGAGAAGAAGGACAAATCCTTGAGTCTGCGTATCGACTACCGGGGCCTGAATGACATCACGGTTAAAAACCGTTACCCACTTCACCTCATCGCCTCGGCTTTTGAGTCTCTCCAGGGGGCTACCATCTTCTCCAAGTTGGACCTCCTGAACGCCTACCATCTGGTACGGATACGGGAAGGGGACAAGTAGAAGACATCCTTTAACACGGCTAGCAGGCACTACGAATACCTTGTTATGCCATTCGGACTGACCAACGCTCCTGCATTGTTCCAGGCCCTGGTTAACAATGTTCTCCGTGACATGTTGAACCGGTTCGTGTTCGTCTACCTCAATGACATTCTTGTTTTTTCCCGCTAGGCTCAAGAACATGTCCTCCATGTTTTTCAGCACTCACCTCTCCCAAGGTCCCGTTCACGTGGTCTCCAGCTGCAGACCAGGCGTTCTTGGACCTCAAGCACCGATTCACAACCGCCCCCATCCTAATCCATCCAGATCAGTCCTGGCAGTTCGTGTTGGAGGTCGACGCCTTGGACATCAGATTGGGGTCTGTCCTGTCCCAGCGTTCGGCCCAAGACCAAATGTTGCATCCCTGCACTTTCCTCTCCCATCGTCTCAACACCACTGAAAGGAATTTTGACGCGGGTAACCGAGAACTCTTCACGGTTAAGATGGCGTTAGAGGAGTGGAGGCACTGGTTAGAGAGGAAGGAACACCCTTTCATAGTGTGGATGGATCACAAGAACCTGGAATATCTCCACACCGCCAAGCGCCTCAACTCCAGGCAATCTCGACAGGCCCTGCTATTCACTCGGTTCAACTTCACCATCTCCTTCAGCCCGGGATCCAAGAATGTGAAGCCGGATGAGCTTTCACACCTCTATAGCCCCTCTGCTACACCAACGGACCCTGAGACCGCCATACCCTAACTCTTGTCTTGCAGCTGCATTCGTCTGGGGTATAGAGAACCAGGTCCGTGAGGTGCAGTGTTCCCAGACGGACCCCGGGGAGGGGGCCTGGTTACCCAGATGTTTGTCCCGGACTCTGCCTGTTCCCCAGTTCTGGAATGGGCTCATTCCTCCCGACTGGCCAGCCATCCTGGCTCCCGTCGGACCCTGCCCTTTGTACGACTACTTTTTTGGTGGCCCACCTTGGTTCATGACGTCTCCATGTTCATCACCGCCTGCACTGTGTGTACTCAGAATAAAATTCTAAGGCAAGCTCCGGCTGGCCTCCTTCAACCTCTTCCCGTTCCTCACCGCACCAGGTCCCATATATCCCTGGACTTCGTCAAGGGTCTCCCTCCATCAGATGGCAATACCACTATCCTCACGTTGGTGGATAGGTTTTCCAAAGCCGCCAACTTCATTCCCCTTCCCAAGTCACCCTCAGCCAAGGAAATGGCCCAGCTCATGGTGCAGCACGTCTTCCGGATCCATGGACCTCCGGTGGTCTCCGATCGCGGTCCTCTGTTTTCATTCTGGTTCTGGAAGGCGTTCTGCACCCTCATTGGGGCATCGGCCAGCCTGTCCTCCGGTTTTCACCCCCAATCTAACGGCCAGTCGGAGGGAGCCAATCAGGACCTGGAGATGACTCTTCGTTGCCTCGTCGCCGCCAACCCCACCTCCTGGATCCAGCAACTCGTGTGGGTGGAATATGCCCGCAACACCCTTCCCTGCTCAGTCACTGGTCTCTCGCCTTTCGGGTGTTCGATGGGATATCAGCCCCCGCTCTTCCCTGAGCAAGAGGACAAGGTCAGCATACCCTCGGCCCAGATGTCCGTCCGCCACTGTCGCCGTACCTGGAAGAGAGCCCGGTATGCTCTTCTCAAGACCACCTCCAGGAATGGACAACAGGCGGACCGCCATCGGACCCCGGCTCCCCATTGTCGTCTCGGGCAGAGGGTATGGCTGACCACTCGGGATCTGCCCCTCCGGGTGGAGTTCCGCAAACTATCCCCCCGTTATATCGGCCCTTTCCCCATCTCTAAGATTCTTAGCCCCGCACCCTCCGTATACATCCCTCTTTTCATGTATCAAGGATTAAACCTCTGTCTCACAGCCCTCTGTCTCCTCTTTCCAGTAAACTAATGGACAACAACACTTAAGCTTCTACTTCCAGCTTATACAAACTATATACATTTTACGGACACGGTATATTTTACAATAGCTCTCTTTTGTTTGTTTTTAGTCCCATCCTTCAGCTACCCTCAACCCATCCTATCTATCTCTGAAGACCATCCAGTTTTGATTTATATTTGCTATATATTTTTCAACTCTGCTGTTTCATAAAGGTTCTGAACCTATATACAAAATCAGAACTGTTTGTGGTCGCCATTGAACATTCACGTGTCCTGGTCTCCGTCTGCCCAAAATAAATTATTAACCCGAGTGGAGAGTCAAAGGACAATTGTGGAGGAGTTCCCGGGGTTCAAACCAAATCTGTTAAAGTACAGGGCAGGGGAATTGATGAACAGTGGGGCATTTATCATATGTTACTGTTTAAGTACCTTAAGTTGGTTTCTGTAAACATTTACTTTGATTAATTTATGGCACCTTTTATTATGTTTTTTAGAATATTTTTAGCAATTTTGAATGTATAGTTTCTTTATTGAATTTGATTGTTTCCGTAGGAGGGGCTATGGCAATTTATAGGCTGGGGTAGAGCTCGTCCCGGTCCTGGAGTCGCGGGCAGACCATGATAAGAAGATTCCACTAGCTTCCATAGCCACCGAGTCAGATTCCACAGCCACAAAGTCAACATTTTATTTAAGGTTAGGCATAAGGTTAGCAGTGTGGTTAGGTTAGGGTTAAGGTTAGGTGTAAAATAGAATTTTAAGAACATCAATTGTAGAAATGGGCGGGGTTTATGACTTTGTGGCTATGGAAGCTAGTGACGACCATGAAATGCTGCATTCACTTGCTCATCAGAACTTCCTATTTCCTAGTTGTGGTGTCGGAAATACAACTTTGTTTCATTCATGTGCTTTTTAGTGATTCGGTCGGAACAATTCTTCAACTAATAAGAGTTTAGCTAGCTTACTTAACATTGACAATATGGTCAAACTAGCTACATTATACATATTGATGAGGCTGTAGTGGTCAAAAATGTATTTGTTGTCATCCTTTGGTTGAAAAGGTTAAAAGGTCAGTGGTGAAACTTCACAACTCAACAACTCAGGCGGCAACATTTTCTCAAATCCCCTTGTAATTCCGACTTGGAGGGTTTTTCATGTGAAAATTCTCAGTCAGGACTAGGAATTTCAAAGAAATCCGACAGCACCTGAACGCGGCAATGAACCTTTGATGCAGAGATATGTAGCGTTTAGAACCCAAGACATATGGGCATCGACTGAAAACCAAGTTGAAGTCTAGTCTCGTGTTTTTCAAGTTTGTAATTTTTTGGTGTAGTTTTACTGTTTTTGTCCCGCACTGCAAATATTCCTCACTGGATTCTGGAACTCCAACAAACTTTTTGTCAAATAAACCAATAGTGACACCATACCAGCCACTGCCAACCAACCCTATAGTTTAGCTAAGCAGTCTTTTATCAACATGTAATGCATTGAGTTAACCTGAAACCTGTAGTCTTGTGGTACAGCAGCTTCCTGAGCTACTGCTGATTGGCTACCTTACAGGACAATGTGGTTTGGAGCTGTGTCTACGACCAGGGTTTATTTCCTGGACAACGTTTATTGTTTCTATTTCTATTCCTTTCTAGTCTAATTCTTTTTAAGACAGAGAGGGTTCATATCTGGATTTTGGCAAAACACCTTAAAATCACATAGACTGGAAGTCTAATCATGGGTTTACTTTGAAGCTGATTTTTGGTCTGGTCTGTGGAGATATTGGTCTAACTTTATTGGGAACAAATACATCAAGTAAGTACATAAATAAAGAATTGAAATCAATTAATTTGAATAAATCAAATCATATCAATTGTAATGACTGATCCACAGAATGTATTGTTACCAGCCAATCAGGGGTATGTTCACTTTAACAGAAGCAGAATGAGGGGTACAGACAGTGATGTGTATAGGAGTCATTGTCTTTGGTGCCTCGGTCCTTGACACATACATTTGTGTACAGGTACTATAACACAGAAACACAAACCACACATGGCTCTTCATCTCTCCCTCCTCCTCCTCCTCTTCTCCAGACTCTCAGGTAAGGGTAAAATGTTTTTATGAAGTGAAAAAGTCTCATGCTTGAAGTCAGACAAAATATTAGCTAGCCTACATATTCAGCCCACACTCATCCCTGCCATACCAGCCATTTTGTACACTACTCACTCCGACTGTTGTCCTTGTCCACCTGAATGGGTAATTGGTAGACCACCTTATCAGTTGACCGAAAGGACTGAGTCTAAATGTGTTTTCTGTTGCTGTGTCTGCAGGTACCCAGGCAGGGGAGTACGGTGTGTCCACAGTGAGTAAGGTGTCTGTGAAGACAGGAAACTTCATCACCATCCCATGTCGCTATAATCTGAGATACATAGAATATGTCAAATACTGGTGTCAAGGAGATTACTGGAATTCTTGTTCTGCTCTAGTACGCACAGACCAACCAAAGATATCTGGGACGGTGTCAATCTCTGATGATGTCACCCGAAGAATCTTCTCTGTTACCATGACTGACCTGCAGCCAGAGGACTCTGGGTATTACTGGTGTGCTGTGGAGACTACAGGAAGAGATCAACATACATACTTGCACCTGTCAGTTACCACAGGTTAGCTCCCCATACCTCTCCTCAATCACACTGTTTTTTTATTTGTTCAGTATGACACAGCTATTTATTTTTTTTTATTTTTTATTTCACCTTTATTTAACCAGAAAAACCAGTTGAGAACAAGTTCTCATTTACAACTGCGACCTGGCCAAGATAAAGCAAAGCAGTGCGATAAAAAACAACAACACAGAGTTACATATGGGGTAAAACAAAACAAAGTCAAAAATACAACAGAAATACATGTAATATACAGTGTGCAAATTTAGCAAGTTATGGAGGTAAGGCAATAAAATAGGCTATAGTGCAAAATAATTACAATTTAGTATTAACACTGGAATGATGTGCAAGAGATGATTTGCAAATAGAGATACTGGGGTACAAATGAGCAAAATAAATAACAATATAGGGATGAGGTAGTTGGGCGGGCTAATTTCAGATGGGCTGTGTACAGGTGCAGTGATCGGTAAGGTGCTCTGACAACTGATGCTTAAAGTTAGTGAGGGAGATAAGTGTCTCCAGCTTCAGAGATTTTTGCAATTTGTTCCAGTCATTGGCAGCAGAGAACTGGAAGGAATTGCGGCCAAAGGAGGTGTTGGCTTTGGGGATGACCAGTGAGATATACCCGCTGGAGCGCAGACTACGGGTGGGTGTTGATATGGTGACCAATGAGCTAAGATAAGGCGGGGATTTGCCTAGCAGTGATTTATAGATGGCCTGGAGCCAGTGGGTTTGGCGACGAATATGTAGTGAGGACCAGCCAACAAGAGCGTACAGGTCACAGTGGTGGGTATTATATGGGGCTTTGGAGACAAAACGGATGGCACTGTGATAGACAACATCCAATTTGCTGAGTAGAGTGTTGGAGGCTATTTTGTAAATGACATCGCCGAAGTCAAGGATCGGTAGGATAGTCAGTTTTACGAGGGCATGTTTGGCAGCATGAGTGAAGGAGGCTTTGTTGCGAAATAGGAAACCGATTCTAGATTTAACTTTGGATTGGAGATTCTTAATGTGAGTCTGGAAGGAGAGTTTACAGTCTAACCAGACACCTAGATATTTGTAGTTGTCCACATACTCTAGGTCAGACCCGTCTAGAGTAGTGATTCTAGTCGGGTGGGCGGGTGCAAGCAGCGTTCGGTTGAAGAGCATGCATTTAGTTTTACTAGTGTTTAGGAGCAGTTGGAGGCTACTAAAGGAGTGTTGTATGGAATTGAAGCTCGTTTGGAGGTTTGTTAACACAGTGTCCAATGAAGGGCCAGATGTATACAAAATGGTGTCGTCTGCGTAGAGGTGGATCTGAGAGTCACCAGCAGCAAGAGCGACGTCATTGATATACACAGAGAAAAGAGTTGGCCCGAGAATTGAACCCTGTGGCACCCCCATAGAGACTGCCATAGGTCCAGACAACAGGCCCTCCGATTTGACACATTGAACTCTATCTGAGAAGTAGTTGGTGAACCAGGCGAGGCAGTCATTTGAGAAACCAAGGCTATTTAGTCTGCCAATAAGAATGCGGTGGTTGACAGAATCGAAAGCCTTGGCCAGGTCAATGAAAACGGCTGCACAGTACTGTCTATTATCGATCGCGATTATAATATCGTTTAGGACCTTGAGCGTGGCTGAAGTGCACCCATGACCAGCTCGGAAACCGGATTGCATAGCGGAGAAGGTACGGTGGGATTCGAAATGGTCGGTGATCTGTTTGTTGACTTGGCTTTCAAAAACTTTTGAAAGGCAGGGCAGGATGGATATGGGTCTGTAACAGTTTGGGTCTAGAGTGTCACCCCCTTTGAAGAGGGGGATGACCGCGGCAGCTTTCCAGTCTCTGGGGATCTCAGACGTTACGAAAGAGAGGTTGAACAGGCTAGTAATAGGGGTTGCAACAATTTCGGTGGCTAGTTTTAGAAAGAAAGGGTCCAGATTGTCTAGCCCAGATGATTTGTAGGGGTCCAGATTTTGCAGCTCTTTTAGAACATCAGCTGTCTGGATTTGTGTGAAGGAGAAGCGGGGGGGGCATGGGCAAGTTGCAGTGGAGGGTGCAGAGCTGGTGGCCGGGGTAGTGGTAGCCAGGTGGAAAGCATGGCCAGCCGTAGCAAAATGCTTGTTGAAATTCTCGATTATTGTAGATTTATCGGTGGTGATAGTGTTTCCTAGCCTCAGTGCAGTGGGCAGCTGGGAGGAAGTGCTCTTATTTTCCATGGACTTTACAGTGTCCCAAAACTTTTTGGAGTTAGTGCTACAGGATGCAAATTTCTGTTTGAAAAAGTTAGCCTTTGCTTTCCTAACTGCTTGTGTATATTGGTTCCTAACTTCCCTGAAAAGTTGCATATCGCGGGGGCTATTTGATGCTAATGCAGTACGCCACATGATGTTTTTGTGCTGGTCAAGGGCAGTCAAGTCTGAGGAGAACCAGGGGCTATATCTGTTCTTAGTTCTGTATTTTTTGAATGGGGCATGTCTATTTAAGATTGAGAGGAAATTACTTTTAAAGAACAACCAGGCATCCTCTACTGACGGAATGAGATCTATATCCATCCAGGATACCTGGGCCAGGTCAATTAGGAAGGCCTGCTCGCTGAAGTGTTTTTGGGAGCGTTTGACAGTGATGAGGGGTGGTCGTTTGACCGCGGACCCGTTACGGACGCAGGCAATAAGGCAGTGATCGCTGAGATCCTGGTTGAAGACAGCGGAGGTGTATTTAGAGGGTAAGTTAGTCAGGATGATATCTATGAGGGTACCCATGTTTACGGATTTAGGGTTGTACCTGGTAGGTTCGTTGATAATTTGTGTGAGATTGAGGGCATCTAGTTTAGATTGTAGGATGGCCGGGGTGTTAAGCATATCCCAATTTAGGTCACCAAGCAGTACGAACTCTGAGGATAAATGGGGGGCAATCAATTCACATATGGTGTCCAGGGCACAGCTGGGGGCTGAGGGGGGTCTGTAGCAAGCGGCAACAGTGAGATATTTATTTCTGGAAAGGTGGATTTTTAGAAGTAGAAGCTCAAACTGTTTGGGCACAGACCTGGATAGTATGATGGAGCTCTGCAGGCTATCTCTACAGTAGATTGCAACTCCACCCCCTTTGGCAGTTCTATCTAGACGGAAAATGTTATAGTTGGGGATGGAAATTTCAGAATTTTTGGTGGCCTTCCTAAGCCAGGATTCAGACACTGCTAGAACATCAGGGTTGGCGGAGTGTGCTAACGCAGTGAATAACTCAAACTTAGGAAGGAGGCTTCTGATATTTATGTGCAGAAAACCAAGACTTTTACGGTTACAGAAGTCAACAAATGATAGCTCCTGGGAAGTAGGAGTGATACTGGGGGCTGCAGGGCCTGGGTTAGCCTCTATGTAGCTATGTAGCTATTGATTTGGGGAAGACTGTTTTAAGGCTCTAAATACAATGTATTTACATGGCTATACATATAGGCAGATACAATGTATGTATGGAGTGTGTTTTCATTGTGGGTATACATTGTTATACTGTGGAGAACATAAACACTTTATTATGAAGGGTTTCTACATAAGGACTTCATAACACATTCATAAGCCATGCATAATGAAATCAAAATCACAACCAAATGCTGATTTATTAATTATCTTTGAGACATTAAATTGAAATACTGTAGAATTCCATTCTTCCTATTGAAGACCGCTCCTTCTGAGGAGTACCAATATGGCGGACGGTGGCTTCAAAGCCTCTCATTGGCCAATACATAGCATCAGCAATCTAGTGTTTGTATACACTGAGTGTACAAAACATTAGGAACACCTTCCTAATATTGAGTTGCACCCCCTTTTGACCTCAGAACAGCCTCAATTCGTCAGGGCATGGACTCTATAAGGTGTCAAATATGTTCCACAGAGATGCTGGCCAATGTTGATGTCACGGATACGGCCGAGGCTGCCCCTCCTCCTCGTTCGGGCAGGCTTCGGCGGTCGTCGTCACCGGAGTACTAGCTGCCACCGATCGATGTTTCTGTCTCTCACTAGTTCTGTCTGTATTGTTCACACCTGTTACTCATTAAGCTTATTAGTTTACCTATATTACCTCTGTTTTCCCTCCTGAGTGTGTGCGTGATTGTTCTTTGTTACGTCGTCTGTTGAGCTGTTGTTTTTGCTCTTCCCTGCGTGGAGGGTTTGCTATATTTACTTGGAGTCGAGTAAAGCCATTTATTCTCAGTTCTGTGTCCTGCGCCTGATTCCGTTTCCCCACTGCACCCAGACGCTGACAGAATCACGCACCCGTTATGGAGTCAGCAGGCACGCCCGATCCCAGCGCTTCGTTGGAGGAACGCATCCACCAGCACGCGACCATGCTGCAGCGACTAGGTTCGGCTCTGGATCAAGTGATCCACACCATGGATCGATGGGAGAGAGTTGGGTTTTCTACACCTCCTCTTTCGCCGATTTCTCTTCCATCAAGATCCTCAAACCCTGGGTCCAGTGGTCTTCGGCTCTCGCTCCCGAGGGAATACGATGGGACAGCTGCCGGGTGTAAGGGTTTCCTGCTCCAGGTGGAACTTTACCTGGCCACCATCCACCCGGCTCCCTCGGGATACGAGAGCCTGTCCGGCCTCATCTCCTGTCTGTCGGGCAGAGCCCTGGAATGGGCCAACGCGGAGTGGGGTGGAATAGACGCTGAGTCCGTTAGTTATGAGGACTTTACCCGCCGTTTCCGGGCAGTATTCGATCATCCGCCTGAGGGGAGAGCGGCGGGGGAGCGTCTGTTTCACCTCAGCCAGGGAAGGAGGAGCGCACAGGAATAAGCCCTGGATTTCAGGACACTGGCAGCCAGCGCGGGATGGAACGAGAGGGCCCTGATTGATCACTACCGGTGCAGTCTACGTGAGGACGTTCGTCGGGAGCTGGCCTGCAGGGACACTAATCTTAACCTGGACCAGCTGGTAGATTTATCGATCCGGCTGGATAACCTGTTGGCTACCCGCGGATGTCCAGATCAGGGTCCGTCCAGTCCATCCCCCAGCACTTCCGAGTCCACACCTATGGAGCCTGAGTTTTCCCCATATTCCCAGCATAGGGCGCTCGTAGATTCCGGCGCAGCTGGGAATTTCATGGACAGATTGGTTGCGCATAGATTAGGGATTCCTATATTGCCGTTAGATGTGCCCTTCCCCATACGTGCCCTAGATAGTCGCCCATTAGGGTCAGGTATGGTTAGGGAGGTCACAGCTCCACTTCGGATGGAGACACAGGGGGGTCATGAAGAGAGAATTAGTCTCTTCCTTATTGATACCCCTGCGTTTCCCATGGTGCTGGGCCTTCCCTGGCTAGCCACCCATGACCCCAGTATTTCGTGGCAACAGAGGGCTCTTAAGGGATGGTCACCTCAGTGCTCGGGAAGGTGTGTAGGTGTTTCCGTTGGGGCAACCACGGTGGAGAGTCCAAACCATGTCTCCCCAATGCACATTCCCTCAGAATATGCCGATTTGGCTCTCGCCTTCTGTAAAAGGAAGGCGACTCAATTACCACCCCATCGACGAGGGGATTGTGCGATAGATCTCTGTGAGGGTGCTGCACTTCCCAGGAGTCACGTGTATCCTCTGTCACAGGAGGAGACGGTGGCTATGGAGACATATGTCACCGAATCTCTGGGACAGGGATACATTCGGCCCTCCACTTCCCCTGCCTCCTCGAGTTTCTTTTTTGTGAAGAAAAAGGATGGAGGTTTACGCCCGTGCATTGACTATCGAGGTCTAAATCAGATAACCGTAAAATACAGCTATCCTCTTCCTCTCATTGCTAGTATGACGGAGTCATTGCACGGGGCACGCTTCTTCACAAAATTGGATCTCAGGAGTGCTACAATCTGATCCGTATCCGGGAGGGGGACGAGTGGAAGACGGCATTTAGTACCACCGCTGGTCACTATGAGTACCTTGTCATGCCGTACGGGTTGATGAATGCTCCCTCAGTCTTTCAATCTTTTGTCGATGAGATTTTCAGGGACCTGCACGGACAGGGTGTAGTGGTGTATATAGATGATATTCTCATATACTCCGCTACACGCGACGAGCATGTGTCCCTGGTGCGCAAGGTGCTTGGTAGACTGTTGGAGCATGACCTGTACGTTAAGGCTGAGAAATGTCTGTTCTTCAGACAGTCCGTCTCCTTCTTAGGATACCGCTTGTCAGAGTCAGGGGTCGAGATGGAGTGTGACCGCATTTCAGCCGTGCGTAATTGGCCGACTCCTACCACGGTAAAGGAGGTGCAGCGATTTTGGGGGTTTTGCCAACTACTACCGGAGATTTATCCAGGGCTTTGGCCAGGTAGCAGCTCCCATAACCTCTTTGCTAAAGGGCGGTTCGGTGCGCCTGCAGTGGTTTTTGGTCAGCTGAAGGCGCTGTTCACCACGGCTCCCGTGCTGGCTCATCCGGATCCATCCTTGCAATTCATAGTCGAGGTGGACGCGTCCGAGGCGGGGATAGGAGCTGTACTGTCTCAGCGCTCGGGTACGCCTCCCAAACTCCGCCCCTGTGCTTTCTTCTCGAAGAAGCTCAGCCCGGTGGAGCAAAACTACGACGTGGGGGATCAGGAGCTGTTAGCTGTTGTGAAAGCTCTTAAGGTGTGGAGACATTGGCTTGAGGGGGCTAAACACCCTTTTCTCATTTTGACTGACCACCGCAATCTGGAGTACATTCAGGCAGCGAGGAGACTGAATCCTCGTCAGGCAAGGTGGGCCATGTTTTTCACGCGTTTTGTGTTCACCCTATCGTATACACTAGGTTCCCAGAATGCTAAGGCAGACGCTCTGTCCTGGCTATATGACTCAGAGGATCGGACCAGGGAGCCTACTCCCATACTTCCGGCTTCTTGTCTGGTGGCGTCGGTGGTATGGGAGGTTGACGCGGACATCGAGCGGGCGTTACGCACGGAGCCCACTCCCCCCCAGTGTCCAGTGGGTCATGCGTACATTCCGTCAGAGGTTCGCGATCGTTTGATTTATTGGGCTCACACGTCACCTTCTTCTGGCCATCCTGGCATTGGTCAGACAGTGCGCTGTCTTAGTGGGAAGTACTGGTGGCCGACCTTAGCTCAGGACATGAGGGTTTATGTTTCTTCCTGTTCGGTGTGCGCTCAGTGCAAAGCACCTAGACACCTGCCCAGAGGTAAATTACAACCTCTCCCCGTTCCACAGCGGCCTTGGTCACACCTATCGGTGGACTTTGTTACAGATCTTCCTCCGTCACAGGGTAACACCACGATCCTGGTCGTTGTGGATCGTATTTCTAAGTCCTGTCGTCTCATTCCTTTGCCCTATAGTGTCTGATCGGGGTCCCCAGTTCACATCGAGGGTCTGGAAGGCATTTATGGACCATCTGGGGGTCTCGGTCAGCCTGACCTCAGGTTTTCACCCCGAGAGTAATGGGCAGGTGGAAAGAGTAAACCAGGATGTGGGTAGGTTTCTGAGGTCGTATTGCCAGGACCGGCAGGGGGATTGGTCAGTTTACATCCCCTGGGTAGAAATGGCACAAAATTCCCTCCGCCACTCCTCCACTGACCTGTCTCCCTTTCAGTGTGTACTAGGTTACCAGCCGGTCCTGGCACCGTGGCATCAGAGCCAGATCGAGGCTCCTGCGGTGGATGAATGGTTTCAGCGCTCGGAGGAGACATAGAACGCTGCCCATGTACGCCGGCAAAGGGCGATTAGGAGACAGAAGGCGAGTGCTGACCGCCACCGCAGTGAGGCTCCGGTTTATGCACCGGGGGACCGGGTCTGGCTCTCAACCCGAAACCTGCCCCTTCGCCTGCCCTGCTGGAAGCTGGGTCGGCGGTTTGTGGGGCCCTTTAAAGTCCTGAGGAGGTTGAACAAGGTTTGTTATAGGTTACAGCTCCCCCCTGATTACCGTATTAACCCCTCGTTCCATGTGTCTCTCCTCAGGCCGGTGGTAGCTGGTCCGCTCCAGGAGTCCGAGGTGCAGGAGGTTCCTCCGCCCCCATTGGACATTGAGGGGGCACCGGCGTACTCGGTCCGTTCCATCATGGATTTGAGGCGTCGGGTTGGAGGCCTGCAGTATCTCGTGGAGTGGGAGGGGTACGGTCTGGAGGAACGGAGCTGGGTTCCCAGGAAGGACATCCTCGATCCCTCCTTGTTAAGGGAGTTCCATCGTCGTCATCCGACTCGCCCTGCACCGCGTCCTCCTGGCCGTCCCCGAGGCCGGTGTCAACGCACGGCTGGAGCCGCGCGTCAGGTGGGGGGTACTGTCACGGATCGGCCGAGTACTAGCTGCCACCGATCGATGTTTCTGTGTCTCACTAGTTCTGTCTGTATTGTTCACACCTGTTACTCATTAGGCTTATTAGTTTCCCTATATAACCTCTGTTTTCCCTCCTGAGTGTGTGCGTGATTGTTCTTTGTTACGTCGTCTGTTGAGCTGTTGTTTTTGCTCTTCCCTGCGTGGAGGGTTTGCTATATTTACTTGGAGTCGAGTAAAGCCATTTATTCTCAGTTCTGTGTCCTGCGCCTGATTCCGTTTCCCCACTGCACCCAGACGCTGACAGTTGACTCCAATGCTTCCCAGAGTTGTGTGAAGTTGGCTGGATATCCTTTGGGTGGTGGACCATTCTTGATACACATGGGAAACGGTTGAGCGTGAAAAAACCCAGCAGCGTTGCAGTTCTTGACACACTCAAACCGGTGCGCCTGGCACGTACTACCATACCCCGTTCAAAGGCACTTAAATATTTGTTATTGCCCATTCACCCTCTTAATGGCATACATACACAATCCATGTCTCAATTTGCTCAAGGCTTAAAAATCCTTCTTTAACCTGTCTCTTTTCCTTCATCTACACTGATTGAAGCGGATTTAACAAGTGACATTAATAAATGATACTAGCCCTTGGTGAATTTGTGTCTGTACCTCTGTGTTCAGGTACTCCAGGACTCTATGTGGACCAACAGGAGGTGACTGGAGTAGAAGGAGGGAGTGTCACTGTCCGTTGTTACTATAGTAACTCTGGAGATATGAAGTGGTGCAGGATGGGTGGTGATTGTGTGAGTTTGTATTCTGGGATTTTACATGACACATCAGTGACATTAAAGCGGACTAGTGTTGCCAACAACAGTGTCTTAACAGTGACTATGAGTGGACTGAAGATGGAGAACACTGAATGGTGTTGGTGTGAAGTGGGACAACTAGGGATGCCTGTTCACATCACTGTCAGTCAACAAACCAAATCACAGAGAACCACTAAGATGACCTCAAGTTAGTAGATCAATCACATACTTTATGATCAAATATGATTCACTCTGTTTAATCCAGTGGCATCATCTGGAACAAATTGTAATATTAACTATGAATGTGATGTTGCTATACAACCTGACTATCTGGTATTGCATTCATTTCATTGATGCCATTGTTGTTTTACATCACAGCAACCCAAGCTCCAACCAATCAACAACCCTCTGCCTCTCCAACTGCTGAGCATGTTCAGACTGACAACACAAGTCAAGGAGCTGAGGGGAACAAGGAGGACGTCCACCAGAGGTTATTATCACTCATTCAGCTGTATTATCCCACATATTATAAAAATGTAAATTTTTATAATATGGACGGACCCCCCTCGGGACGTCCGCGGGTAGCTAGCAGGGTATCCAGCCTGATGGACATGTCGACCAACTGGTCGAACGAGAGGCTGGTGTCCCTACAGGCCAGCTCCCTACGGACGTCCTCACGTAGACTACATCGGTAGTGATCGATGAGGGCCCGCTCATTCCACCCTGCATCCGCCGCTAGAGTACGGAATTCTAAGGCGAACTCCTGGGCACTCCTCTTCCCCTGCCGGAGGCAGAACAGACGCTCCCCCGCCGCTTTCCCCTCCAGGGGATGGTCAAACACCGCCCTGAAGCGGCGGGAGAACTCGTCGTAGGTGATGGTGGTAGCGTCGATTCTCCTCCACTCTGCGTTGGCCCATTCCAACGCCTTACCGGAAAGGCAGGAAATCAGGGCGGACACGCTCTCGTGTCCCGAGGGCGCCGGGTGCACGGTGGCCAGGTAAAGCTCCACCTGGAGAAGGAATCCCTGACACCCGGCAGCGGTCCCATCGTAGGCCCTCGGGAGCGAGAGTCGAACACCTCTGGGTTCCGGAGCGGGAATGGGCTGACTTGCCGATGGTGCGGGCAGGGAGGATGGTGGTGGAGGTGTCCCTCGGGTCTCCCAGCCTCGGATGGTGGTGATCACCTCCTGCAGTGCGGACCCCATCCGCAGGATCTGGTCATTCTGCTCACGGACCCGGTCCTCCAGCGTCGCCTGTGCTGCTGCGGCTCCTGCTGATTCCATTCTTGTGGTGTGTTATTCTGTCAAGGTGGATGTAGGTGGGTGTGGTGGTGGAATCAGGCGCAGGATGCAGAACGTTAGTCCAACAGACTTTAGTAGATGCAGACAAAAACAATCACGAATAAATGCCCTGAGGCGAAAACTCCGCACGTAGGCGAAAATAACGGGCGCACTAACAGGTGCGACAAAACACTCCAAACAATATGGAGAAATAGCTCAACCGAGCAAACAGTAGAATAACAGCCTACCGGCACGACAGTAAAACAATAACACACAATCAATCAATCAATTTTATTTTATATAGCCCTTCTTACATCAGCTAATATCTCGAAGTGCTGTACAGAAACACTAGACAAACACAACGAGAACTTATAAGACACTAATTACACTAAACGATAACAGGTGTAACAACAATCAGACAAAAGCAAACGAACATAGAAACATGCAACGGTGGCAGCTAGTATTCCGGAGACGACGAACGCCGAAGCCTGCCCGAGCAAGGAAGAGAGGTAGCCTCGGCCGAAACCGTGACAGATGGATGCCACATTGGCAAAGATGTCACCGTTCTCCTCAATGGCCTGCTTTATTTCAGACAGCCATATGTCATTCCTGGCCCTCACCATTTCCAACACTGCTGGTCGGTCAGCACACAGCCTCGACAACACCATGGGGTCTTCTGTCAATTCTGATGGTAGAACAGAGTATACTGTCAATAGATCACACTGTAAGAATATTGTAACATGTTTTGTGAATTTACATGCATTTCAATATATCATATAATGTAAATGTACTGTTAAAGCAGAGTGCATATCCTACAGACTTACCGGTTTTCTTGGCGAAATGTTGTCATGATTGAACTGACAGTTGATCTTTTCAGATTTGGGTGAACTAATCAGGCAGCCTCTGCCATGGTAAGGCCTCTGTTTACCACATGGTCAACAACGATGGCCCAGACATCATTAGACACAACAGTTCCCTGCCCTCTGTCTCCCTCTCTATCTGATGTCCACCTCTTTGACGTCTTTGACCTCTTTGATGGGTCTAATGCCCACCTCTTTGACCAATTTGATGGGGCCCATGCCCACCTCTTTGACCAATTTGATGGGTCTAATGCCCACCTCTTTGACCTCTTTGATGGGTCTAATGCCTACCTCTCTGATGGCCCCTTGTCCACCAGCTCTTTGATTTCTTCCTCTCCCTTGCTGTCTATCCTGCTCCTTGTTAAAGAACTTGCAAGTGTTCACACACCCCCTTTTATATGGTGACCAATAGTGGTTGACGCTATGTGAAATCAATTAGTACTAATGAATATTCATTATGTATGGTTATCATGTATCATACATGTCATTTAGATGTTTATACTATACAAACACACATTGTATTTATGTAGTTCTCTAAATACATATATAGTAGACAAACCAGTTTAAAATCTATAGGTCTACCAAACTGTTAAGTCATTAATCATTAAGCGCCGTTGAATTAGGTGATGGTCAAATGTTTTTAAAGAAATGAGAAGAGAATCATATGAAATGTATTGTGAGCATTGCATTGTGAAAGGCAATTACTTTATATGAAAGGTGTTTTTAGATGAAACACTGGTAAGTTACTATGTGATATTGTGTGTTGTACTTAGTCAATTGAAAATGTGCTTAAAGTTTTTTATTTTATTGAGTTTTGTACTAAGAGTTGTGAAATATTACCACATATGTATGAAAATTGTACCAAAGCAACAAAAAAAAGTGAGTTTGAGTGTGAGTTTGAGTGTGAAGTAGTTGCTGTGTTGGAGCCAACAGTAGAACACATAGCTCAGTATTTAACATGACGTCATGGAATGAGTTTAGCTTAAACTTGTAGCATTCTGGTAATGCAGCTTCCTGAACTAACTTTAACACTTTGGCTTGGAGGACATCTGTGGTTATGAGCTGTACATGACAAAGGGTTCATTTCCTGTATAGAAGAGGGATAAAGGGGCCTCCCAATTGGCGCAGCAGTCAAAGGCACTGCACTGCAGTGTTGAGGTGTCACTACTGCCTGGGGTTTTATCCCAGGCTGTGTCACAGCCAGCCATGAGCGGGAGTCCCATAGGGCGGTGCACAATTGACCCAGCGTCGTCTGGGTTAGTGCAGGGTTTGGCCCGGGGGCTTTCCTTGGCTCATCGCGCTCTAGCGACTCCTTGTGGTGGGACTGGCGCCTGCAAGCTGACCTCAGTCGTCAGTTGAATGGTGTTTCCAGTCGTCAGTTGAATGGTGTTTCCTCCGACATATTGTTGCGGCTGGCTTCCGGATTAAGCGAGCAGGTGTTAAGAAGCAGCGTGGCATGGCAGGTAATGTTTCGTAGGATGCATGATTCGACCTCTGGTCGGGTAAAATTATTACTAAAATCTTTAAAAGAAGTGGGAGAGAGACAGAGAGCGTTCTTGTTGAACGTAAAACCACATCAGACTGGGTTGTTGTCCGGAGGACCTTGAACCGTGACCTGGTTTAAAGTGAGAGTTTGTGGAGGTCTTGGTCTAGTACCCATCACTACATCTCTGTAGCACATGACCCCTCAAATATATCAATGTCTAGCACATTGAGAACATTTATCATATAGTTTCTTATCTACTGAAATATTGAATTTGCCAATGTGGTGTATGTCGCCCAATTATCGAATATTTGTAATCATTAGTAGCCTATGTTTCAGTAGAGGGTAACAGGATAGTAGTGACCTTTGGTCCCAAAACCCTTAGAGAAAGCTGAAATATATTTTAGTAACTATGATTTTGGGGTTAAACTAGTCCATATGATGCAATAGTTGCTATCTACCACTGAGGGGGCCATGTACACACAAACAGAAACAGGAAGAGAGTTACAGACAGTGACGTCTATTAACATTAGGAAGTAGAGTATTCTGGCTGTTGCCTTTGTCCTTGACACACACTTGTGCTCAGGTATCATATAATATACCAGGCAGACTGAAACCTTCACATGGCTCTTCATCTCTCCCTCCTCCTCCTCCTCCTCTTCCTCATCCTCTACAGAGTATCAGCAGGTATGTGTAACATGTTTCTATAAAGGGCTGAAGTCCAGTGGGTCAATTCACTGTAAACACGGTGTAATACATCTCAATCATTAACAAGCTGTTTTATAGTGTATAAGCAAGGTTTTTTTTCTTCTGCAGTGCAGATTCTGTTGAATTCCAACCTAAATGTGTTTTGTGTTGATGTGTTCACAGTGAGGCGTGTGTCTGTGCAGGCCGGAGGCTCCATCACCATCCCATGTCACTATGATCAGTATTACAAAAATCATGTGAAATACTGGTGTAAAGGGTATGATTGGAGTCGTTGCTCCTCTCTAGTACGCAGTGACCATCCTAAGAGCAGTGGTAATGCCTCAATCTCTGATGACATCAACCAGAGAGTCTTCACTGTGACCATGACTGATCTGGAGCCAGAGGACTCTAAGACTTACAGGTGTGTTGTGGAGATCAATGGAGGACCAGATATCGGGATACAACGGTTCTACCTGTCTGTCACTCCAGGTAAGATCCCTGCAACTCTTACAATTCAGTAAAGTAGAATAGGTAGTTCTCAGTAATGATGAGACAATCAGATATAGCCTGCTTCCACAAACTAAATGACTGGTGTTCTCATTTCATTTCCTGGTAACTGGTTCCTTGTCTGGTAACTGGTATCACCATTATTGTTCAAGTTGACCTGAAGAAAGCTTTATGTTCTATATATGTAGATTGTGGTGTAAACTTTGTTTAAACTCTGCAGTGGTCGGTTTTAAAACATTTTTTAAAATAATATTAATAATAAAATGCTTACTAGAAATAAAGTTCTGCTGCTGAGTTCTTTCTTTGGTGTCTGTACCTCTGTGTTCAGGTACTCCAGAACTCTATGTGGACCAACAGGAAGTGACTGCAGTTGAAGGAGGGAGTGTCACTGTCCGTTGTTACTATAGTAACTCTGGAGATATAAAGTGGTGCAGGATGGGTGGTGATTGTGTGAGTGGGTATTCTGGGACTTTACATGGAACATCAGTGACATTAAAGCGGACTAGTGATGCCAACAACAGAACAGTCTTAACAGTGACTATGAGTGGACTGAAGATGGAGAACACTGACTGGTATTGGTGTGAAGTGGGAGAACTAGAGATGCCTGTTCACATCACTGTCAGTCATCAAACTGCAACACAAAACATCACTGCTATCAGTAAGTACTTTCTGTTTGGGTCACAAAAATAGTTTAATATCCATAGTTACTTCACATCAAAATGATGTAATTTTCTTACATTAGTATCACAATGAAAATATGTATTTATTCCATGATTTACTTCTTGACATAGATGATATTCAGTGAAAATCTGCTACTGTTTTCATAATCCTTGACAGCAGATTCACTTTGTTTCATCGTCTGAAACAAATTGGAATATTGACTATGAATGTGATGTTGCTATACAACCTGACTATCTGGTATACCAGTAATTTCATTAATGGCATTGTTGTTTTACCTCACAGCAACCCAAGCTGAGGGGAACATGGAGGAAGTCCACCAGAGGTTATTATCACTCATTCAGCTGTATTATCCCACATATTATGGCAATTGTTTGATAATATGAACACAAAGAAACATTACAATTCCATCATACACTACAACAGTTAAAGCTAACCAAACTCCCTTCCTAAATGCATATAGAGACTGTTAGCGTAGAATCCCGTATTATCGGCATATTCAACAGCGTTTAAGAAATATATTACCTTCAACAGTGTTATCTTGTGATCAAGCCTTCAATGTTTTGTGATTATTGGTGTCGTAAAAATGTTAGCTAACGGTTTAGCAATTAGCAAGTTTGACATTTCATTTGAAATATTACTGTTATCTGCTTTTGATAAGCGGTTTAGCAAAATAATATGTCCCGTATTATCAGTATACGGCCCCCAGTTATTGGGCACCTTACTATTCTGTTCAATTACAAGATATATCCGTTTAATTTTGTTTGAAAAAAGAGACACCAACCACGTACCCGAAGTGTTTACTAGATAGTTGACTAGTTGGCTAGTCTTTCCGGTAAAAAATAATGATTTGCCTGTCAACTTTTCAATGCGTAGCCCGGTGCGCCCTCTTGTGGACTCTTAAAAAATGGTTCTTCACCAACATTTTCAGTGTTGTAACCAAATGAAATATGAGTGTTAATAATTTACATCAAATACACTTTAATTTCAGTTATGTGCATTAACATAAAACAATGAAAAACACTGTTTGGAGTTTGTGTTGCAGAGGTGCACTTGGAAAGTAAAGGAAGAAATACACAAGATGGGTTCAATAAATATATATTATATTTTAGACATTAAGTTTTTTTGAACAAATAAATAATTTCATATGAACACAAACAAAACAAACAATTAAATCTCGACCTCCATCCCTATATTGTCACAAAAATCACAATAAAATCCAGCTCCACCGCTACCTCTTGATCCCACTGCACAACACCTGCAGTGGAACCAGTGCTGACAGAAGTCACAGCACACCCATGGCACCTCGGATCTACACTCCTGAGAGGAGCTTGCAGGCGGATCACGCTCCCCCGCAGCGAGCACAGCAGGTGGTGTCTTCTTTTATAAAAAATAAAATAATAATACAAATTGATTAATATGGTTTTGCAAAATGTAGAAGTTCTTCAACAACAATAGTAATTGATACAACTGAGAGAGCGAGAAAAACAGATTATGAAGTACCCTGAGAGTGGTGCCATGGGTGGTGTGACAGATGTGACCGGTGTAGCTTTTTCTCTTCCTTTTCTGTGCTGGCAGTTTGAGAAAAAGTAGTGTTAGACAGAGCATGTTGCATGAAAACCCTTTAAAAACTTTTTTACAATCAATACCTCTGGAGGAAGCTGCAGAGGTTTTGGAGGAGGCGGAGATGACTTGAGGGCTGGTGCTATGTACTGTAGATATGTAAAGATATATATATATATTTTTTACATTGCTGTTTTATAAAACAGATAACAAACAGTCATTTTTCGTAATTTAACATGTGTTTACCTGTGGAGGTGACGGTATTCAAATTGCAGGGGGCAGGGACACCAGACGAGGCTGCAATGGAGGAGGCAGTTGAGGGAGACGGAGGAGACAGTTGGTCCAGAGGAGGCCGTGTTGGTGGTGACAGACATGGGGGGTGGTGTGCATTGGGGTGGTGGTGGACAAAACCGCCGACGATGGCTGGAGGAGCTGGTGTTTGTAACGGTGGGGTTGAGGGGCCGACGATGGTGTGGCCGGGGAGAGTAGGCATGTGGCCTTCTTCTGCAGCTGGGGACTCCGGCGGCTCCTACAGGTGTTGCACACTGGGAGGCACTGGCAGTGGTGATTGCAGCTGTCAGGAGTGGTTCCAGCAGGGGGTCCAGCAGAGGCGATGGCGTCAATGGTCTCATCCATGGCAGACACTCTCCTGTGCCTCTGTGTTCTGAGGGCTGCCCCCGACGCTCTTTCTCCTCTGCCCCGGCCCTCTCCTTCTCACCCCTCTCCTGCCACTGGCGCGTGTATTCCTCCCCGGTGAGGCATGTGGCGACCACAGGGAGTCTTCTGTATCGGTCCAGCCGATACTTCAGGACAGTAAGGATGTGCCCAGGTCCTTCGCTATCAGCCCCCCCTCTATTAGGGGGTGCTCTTCTAGAGCTAGGGATAGGAACTGGAGCAGCGGCTGGGACTGGGGCAGGGGCTGAGGGTCCTCCTGTGGTCGCTGGGGAGGAGGTGCTGATGGATGGCACAGTGCTGCTGGTTTCAGTAGAGGCGGTGTGTTCGGGACCCGGTTAGGGTCCGAGACGGCATTAAACGGGACCCTTCAATGGCTGAAGGGTCAAAAAGGGAAGAGGGCCACACTTCTTAAAACCCTTCCACACATAGCGCATGTCTTGCATCGCTGGTACGAGTAGCGGAATACTGATTGTTTACCATATAGGAGTGGTCAAAATGGCTAAGGTTCTCCAGCTACCTTGGAGAACTCAGCCTTTAAAGGGCCAAAGTATGCCACGTCCAGCGGCCTGCAGGACACGGGTGCAGTGTGGTGGAAGACAAAAGATGTATAACCCCCCTCCCTTAGTGCTGCCGCGAGCACCTCTGGGTCCATGTGGCTCTTGTGCCCATCGAAGAGGAGAAGGAGAGGGCGCTCTTTCACTGCATTACTCAATGAAGTGTTGAAACCACTTCTGAACAGGTCCCCCGTCAATGTAGCACTGCTTGACCGTCCATACAAGGCTTGGGGGGGGGGGGGGGGGGCTCCCAGTGTGTAGTGGCCACCGGGGAAACACTTGGGGTAGATGATAAACGGGGGGACGTCCTCCCCAGTTGCGTTGAAGCAGGCCAGCACTGTGATGTGCTCCTTGGTCCCCGAGCCTGCTGGTACACGTGTTTTTGCGCCCCGGGGAGCCAGCACTTTGTGCCTGCTCTGGTCGCTACGAAACCCAGACTCATCGCAGTTATAGATTTGTCTGGGTTTCTCCCTCAACCCACTCTCCACCAAGTGCTTCTCATAAGAAGTGAAGAAGGTGTCCATCGTCGGACGTGTGGCACACTCAGCTCCTCCCCCTATCCAGGGTGTCCGGCTCCTCATGCTTAGGTTCTTGTGCCTCCTCCTGAACATTTCCCCACCACCTCTTCCCCAGTGGTGGGATTGTTTCCCCTGTGTGCCGAGAACCTACAATAGAATAGAATATATAATTGTCCATTCCAGGATGAAAATGTTTGTTTTGGCATCACCATACACATCCACATTTACATCACAACACATTGAGAACAGTCAGTCCACCAATCTACATACATAAACACATAGAACACCAATACCTGCGTATTTTGTCGGCGTATTTCATCAGCCTCTGTCTGGTGAGGGGAACCCATGGCTGGCGCAGTAGATACCAGTACTTGCACCAGAGACTTTTCATCCTCTGGTGCAAGCAATGTGGGTGGTCCACTGCGACAACCATGGGTCACCCTGGCCGCTCAGCCTGTCCGCCAGGGTCTGCCGAGGTACACCATGCACCTTGGTAGATAAGAAAAGAAAACTGTTACTAGCAGATAAAATTCACATACACATGGTAATTCTCCTAAAAACAAAAGATGCCTAACCTGGCAGCCTGGCGGATAGCCATCCCTGCCCCCGCAGTCCCTCCATGGCATGGAACATGTCCACCTCACTCCACTGCTTTCCTCTTGACTTTCTCCATGCTGCAGTGGTAAATACATGTAGCTAAATAACTTGGCATACTATACACATTTTAGAAAGATACTCAATCTGAATATGTATAAACATTTACATTTCAGAGCTAAGGCATTGAAAGGTGATGAAAGTTTTCACAATAACTGAAAGTGTACCCACGTTTTTTTGTTTGATGTTATCTGTAATGAAAATTAGTGTCCCAATTAGTGTAATATTGATGCATACATTGTACCATTTAACTAAATACTGCCTCTATGTAGCTGTTGTAAGATGAAAACATAGCCAACAGTGATAGGTGTCGAAAAGTTAATGGTTCAAAGTTCCAAATACATTTTTGCAGATTGTGCAAAACGCCCTCCGTCAGAGGACTCCAATTTTTGATACGGTAAAGCTTGACAACATGCAGCTGTTTTCGTGATATGTATTATCTAACACTTACAATTTCTTTCCTTTTTGCTTACTTAGCAGTTCTATCAACATTTAGCAACTAAGATGCAACATTAGAAAATCCGTTAGCTATATTTCAGAGGTAAAAAGTTTGGAAATTTTAAATTTGGGGTGGTTTTGTCGCGCCCGATTTTTCCCAAAATGCAGGTTCCACCAAAAATTTTACATAAACTGTTTTTAAAACCCTCAAAACCTAATAACTTTCATAAAAGGCCCCTGGAAATCGGTGGCCGTTTGCTAAAAAAGGGGGGGCGTTAGTACAAAAAATTTCCGTTATTTTTCGTCCATTTAAATGTTGAGCTGGGGTGATTCAGTCCTCCCAAAAACTTTAAAAAGGTCCGGGTTAGGGGGGTCTGGGTTTGGGGGGAAAAATTCTAGACTCCTCTTGGGTTTGGGAAAATTTCTTTGGGGAAGTAGCAGCAATTTTTGGGTTTTTTCACTTTATTTGCCAAGGACAAGGTTTCACACTTTTAAAAAAAAAAATTTTTTGTTTAGTAATAACTCATAATAAAAATGAATTCCACAATGTGAATACTAAATAATTTTTCCATTTTTC